GGCTGAGCCTCAGACCAAACGAATTGGCCCAGGGCCACCGACAGTTACCTGTGCCCAACTGCCCACAGCCTGAGTTGGGCCTATGCTGCGAATCTCGCCCAGGGCCTGACTCAGATGCATTCGATAAAGGAGGCACAGGGCCTGGGCGCTTCCAACCAACTGGCGCTGCGCAACTACCTGAATTTTCCCCAGTTGCGAAGTAGTCCAAAATAGGCCTCTTAGGGTCTGTCGRGCCTGCCTTCACTTAGGGCGGCCGACGCTGTTGCAAATTGGGGCCCAGTAGGGCTTATCGAGGCCTTGTGCCTCGCAAAAGTTAGGAATTTGAAAACTAGAAATTAGGAATTTGGTATCAGAGAACCGAACTTTAAAGCTTGAATTTGGAATTAACGTTTTGAGGATCATCTAGTGTCACAGAACATAGGCCGAGAGAATACCCAATGATACACTGCCCCAATTGTCCTCGCAGAAAGTAAACCGTAACCACTTTCGAATCATGTCAACTGAATAGCCTCTATAGATCAACTTTCGATAGCAGGGCAGGGGTGTGCATGAACTAAATCAAAGGAATACAGGCAACTTACGTCATCACAATGATTGTCCCCAGCTATGATTATCACGAGCTGTTTATGAAAAGTTGTGTGATATCAAGATGCAACCTAGACATGGAACCTTGAGAACCAGAGCGTATCACGGTGCAAGCTGCAGCGTGAACGCTTAAAACCCGAGCGCGACTGGATCTTGGATCGAACATCACAGACTACTAATCAAAAAAGAAATTAACGAGAGGGATGAAAGCACTTGAGAAAAGGAACTGAGGAGGTTAAATTTGCAACCCGCAACCACGTCCTGAAGAGGAACTCTGACACAGCGCCCATAGGAATGAAATGATCAAAACATAAAAGGGCACAACTAGCTTTATCAAGGCAGGCGCCGAGCTCAGAATCCCATGAACAATCCATCGTCGAGTCCGCCTTCTGCTTGAAGAATGCCACGCTTGGTGGCTATCAACACCGAGGGACTCTGAAGAACTCCCTTGAAGCCACATCCTCCGCTCGAGCGCCCCCCTTGTGAGGAAATTGCAGCTGCTGTCAATCTTAGACTGACACTGCTTTAGAAAACCCAACTTGATGTTGCCTCCAACGACCGAAAACCATCCCTCATCCCAATCCAGGTGAGGTTGCCCCCCCCCCTATTCAACCCATGTCAAACGCCTAGCCTCCACTATGCTGTGCAGGGTAAAGTAGCTAAGGCCACCACCTCACCTAATTCTCTTAGATGTCTGCCTCCTCTCAAAGGCCATCCCCCCTTCGTCCAGCGTGCTAGCCTGCAGCACCACTTGGGCGAAGTGCAGAACCGGGCGTAGCATTACAATACTTGGACCACTCTAGTGAGGTCATTCTCACCCACATACCAACACCATGACCAGGCTCCTCCATAGACGTTTATTGAGAAGCAAGGAGGGCAAGCAGGCAGGAGAGGGGACGAAGAAAAAACACAACAAACTAGCCATGCACGTTATCTCCCGTATCCCCCTTCCTTCGCACCTTTCAACTCAACTTCCATGCTGATGCCATCCTCCTCGCCATCTCGCCAGGTTCAAAACTTCAACTGGCAGCGCCTCCTAGCCACGCAGCCCTTTGCAGAGATCGGCACTTCAACCAGCGGTGCACGGTGGCGCAGCGCTCCCGGCAGTGCTACGCCGCCCGGAGACATTGAAAACTGTTTTTTCGATTTTTTAGGTAATTTGTTGGAGAGTATCATATCAT